GACCAGCAGTTCCCAAGTGGGGGCGGCTTGGGCCTCCAGGGGACATTGGACAATGCCTGGAGACACTTCTGGTTGTCTGACTACAGAGGAGGGAGCTACTGTCATCTAGTGGCTAGAGATCAGGGATGCTACCAACCATCCTAACCATGCACAGGGCAACCCTCACAACAAAGGATTATCTAGTCCAAAATGTTGAGCATATGGAGGTTGGAAAACCATCTACCAGACCATCTAAACTGAAGAAAGTGTGCCCATAGGCAAGCCTCTGACTTGGAAAGGCCCCATTCATCTTTCCTTCTGCCCCGGCTCAGATTGGGAAGTTAAATTAACAGCTCCGCTTCTCCCCGCCAAGAACTTCCCTGAGCCTTGGATCTGAGACTCAGAACATCCCCTGCCCTGGAGACAGTGGCCCACAGAGCTCTAGCTGGCCTCTAGACAGCCACCTGCATCTCCTGATGCCCATGCTCCCTAGAACTGCCCGAGGTGCTGCATACTCAACTTCAATCCAGACCAAGGACTGGGGATAGTAACACAAATCTTGAATTTTTCACTCACTCATTCAGCAAATATTTGATTACTTACTATGTATGAAGAACAACTCTAGGTGCTGGGGGAATGACAACAAGTAAAACTGTCTCTGCCTTTACAAAGCATCCTAGTCAGGTAGAGGCAGAAGATAAAACATACAAATAAATACATGAGACCCAGGAGGTAGTAAGTACTATAAATATTAGGAAGCAGGGAGGGGCAGAGAGAGTGAGAAGAGATTGCAGGGGCCATGGGGAGCCCCTGTGATAACACTAGAGCAAAGCTCGGAAGGGTTGTGGATGTCTGAGGGGATGGGGTTCTGGACAAGAACAGCCAGGGCAAGGGGGCTGAATGGGGCCGTATAGTGTTCAAGGAGCTCTCTTGACAGTAGTGGACGTGGGGAGCCAGGAAGAAAGGAGGGGCAGTGGCGACAGGCCTGGCAGGTCTCCCAGGCCCTGGTCAGTCCAATCAGATGTTCATACATTATTCTGAGAGTGATGGAAAGTCACTAGACAACTCAGAAACGGTGTGGCATAAACTGATTTACGTTTTTAAAAGCAAAAAGGGTGTTATTCTGTATGTTGGTAAATTGAACACCAATAAAAATTAATTTATAAAAAAAAAAAAAGTAAAAGGCTAAGAAAAAAGTAAAAAGCAGAATTCCTAGAAACAGAGAGTAGAATGGTGGTTACCAGAGGCGGGGGTGGGAGGTAAGCAATAGGGAGATGTTGGCCAAAGAGTACAAACTTCCAGTTTCATATTCATTAGAAAATGAATACATTCTGGGGGAGCTCATGGATAGCATGGTGGTTGCAGTTAATAATACTGTATTATAAACTTGAAAGTTCCTAAGAGGGTAAATCTTAAATGTTTTTACTACAAAAAAAGAAAAAAATAGTAATTATGTGATGTGATGGAGGCGGTACTTAATCCTATGATGGTAAGCATTTTGCAATGTATAAATGTGTGATTCAAGGCACACCTGGGTGGCTCAGTGGTGGAGCATCTGCCTTCGGCTCAGGGCGTGATCCCGCAATCCTGGGATCAAGTCCCACATCGGGCTCCCTGCATGGAGCCTGCTTCTCCCTCTGCCTTGGTCTCTGCCTTTCTCTCTGTGTTTCTCATGAATAAATAAATAATCTTTAAAAAAAAAAAAAAAGCAAAAAGGCACCAAGAAAACATTTGACAGGCCTCAGCGGTCCTGGCAGCTGCACCCCATTGTCAATGGAGTGGAGTCTCAAAGTGTTCACATATTCTATTTGCATTCAAAGAACAGAATAACAACTTAACAGCAGACTTCCTTTTACCATAAAGGCCCTCCTGATATTCTAAAGCGGAGGTGACTGTGCCTGGTTTTGCAACACCCTACGGCTCTACATGCAGATGGAGCAAAGTTCTTCTGAAGATGCTCTCAAGTTTAATAAAATAAGTAAGGCAGATTCATTTCACTTGAATGAAAGAAATGCCTTGCCACACACCACTTTTAGAACAAGGGGGTTGGGGTGGAATGAAATCAAATCAGAGAGCCTGTATTCCAGAAAAGCTGGGATCACTGACAAATACCTGAAGTCCAGGAATGGGAGAGGGTATATGTGTAATTTATTCATAAATTGCCAGCCATCTCCAGACAACTTTTCAAATAAAATGTGACACTTGATTAAATATTTACTGGTTTGTTGACCCATTTTTTTTTGTCATTGTTGTTAATTAGAATTTTTTTAAAAGGAAACATTGTCACAGCAAATTAAAATCCAGACAGCCTCAACATGGGATAGCTCAGCCAGGCTGTAGTCAAGCATTAAGTTGCGATTTAGCAACAGTATTGTATCTGAGGGGAGACATCAATTGGAAAAATCAGAAATAGGCTCTCAGTGTAAAAAGGTTGAGGCTCACCCCTGCACTAGATCAATCTGCCATCATTAACACAATAGATCTGTTTGAAATATAAAGAGTTTTGGAAATATAGAGTTTTCAGCAATTGTTTTTCTGTTATTTTACCTTAAATATGTATTTAGCCCAAACCCCCTTTTCAAAGCAGTAGCTGGCCAAACAGTTCTGTACCTGTTTCTACAAAACAAAAAAAGCTATGTTAAGATGTTGCATGAGTCCTTTGCCTTTTTTTTTTTTTTTAAAGCTTTTAATGGCTTTGTGCTTTAGTAAATGCCTTCAGGTTAACACTTCCTACTGGCTCCCCTCTGGGGTGTCTCTGAAGCCAGGCTTAGTGGACCTTCAAGTTCACAGTAACAGAGGGGTTTTATGTCTCCTGACTACAGGTCTATGGACTCCACCGCCCCTGCCAAAAAAGAGTTTACTTGCAATGTCTCAGCAAATACGTCTGACCCCCAGCAGGAATTGTAGCCAGTGGCTATGGTGACAACTTAGTGCCGTGACCACCTCTGTTGGCTGGGTGGAGGAAGGGGGGCTCACAGGGGAGAAGCTGTCATGGAAAGGGAATAACATTTTTGGTGATCATGGAGTTTCTCTAAATGATCTAGATTTGTTTTGTTTTAGATTTTATTTTATTTTTTATTCCTAAGAGACAGAGAGAAAGAGAGGCAGAGACACAGGCAGAGGGAGAAGCAGGCTTTGGCTCAGGGCGTGATCCTGGAGTCCCAGGATCAAGTCCCACGTTGGGCTCCCTGCATGGACCCTGTTTCTCCCTCTGCCTGTGTTTCTGTCTCTCATGAATAAATAAATAAAATCTTAAAAAAAAAATTTCAGCTGCAAGGTGACGTTAAGTAGTCAGTCCTGGTGGCTACAGGTTGAACATGCATTTACTGGTCACAGCAACTGGAAGAGGTAAAGAATTCGGTTTTCAAACTCTGATGAGGAAGCGGAGACTCAGAGGTCTGACTTCTCCACCGCTTCATTATTTTGCCCGTGGAGCCAGAGAAGAGGAAAAGGCCACCCCGGAGATTTCCCTCACCCCCTTTGCTGTTCCTCCTGGGGATGAACACCCCCTCCTTCTACTCACAGAAGCTGCGTGGCAGGCTGGCAGGCTAACCTGAGAGGAGGCGAATTAAAGACAGCTTCAAATCCTTTGCCACTTCTCCCATCAAAAATCAAAACCTTTCACCTGCCCTTCGAAGAAGGTGGGCTGGCCCATGACTTCCCATAACCACTGGAAAGTGGCAGCAGTGAAACCATGTGACTTCCAAAGCTAGGCCTTAAGAGCCACCAAATTCTGGTTTTGTCTGCTTGGAACACCTCCCTGGGAACCCAGCCACCGTGCTTAGAAGGAGCCGTGAAGAGAAGGGAGAAATTGCTGCTTACACACATCAACAGCCGAGGCCCAGCCCGCAGCCAGCACCCAGCCGGGTGAGCGAGTCACCTGGAACGTTCCAGCCCATTCAACAACACATGGAGCAGAAGAACTGCTCTGCCGAGCCCAGGCAACCCCAGAACTGGGAAAGATGATCAATGTGGTGGTAGTGGCTGTTTTAAACCACTAGTTGAGGAGTAGTTTATTTCACAAACTGTGAAAGAATTTCTTACTGTTGGCCAGAGGATGATGGCCTGAGGCGGGCTCTCCGCTGGTGGGATTCCTGGTCTGCATCTCGGGGAAGATACCATTGAGGAGGGTGGGATATGTAGAAGGGGTGTCTCTGGCCACCACTGGAGTATAGTACATTCATTTCTTCCCCCAGAATTCCTAGAACACTCTCATTTGTGAGCACACAATTACCCAGGTCTCCATGTTCCTAATGAGGCTTTGCCTGAAGCCAGGAGACAGCTCTGCGTAGCCCAGAATCCAGGAGGAGACAATCTTGGGCTTAGTGCCCTATGATCTAAAAGAAGCTGGAAAAACAGCAGGATCTGTCTCTTTCCCATACACTCCAGTGTTTTTTTTTTTTTTCCAATACACTCCATTTTTTAAAAAACATTCTTTTTCTTGAATTGAAATGTCATGAATGCCCCTCTCTCTTAGGCAAGTTACTGAACTTATTCTTAAGTTATTGTGAGAGTTAAAGGCGAAAATGTATGCTGAGTTCTTTGCACAGTACCTGTGTGATTCAGGTGCTCAATAAACACCCTTTCCAAATTTATAGTGTTTTTTTGTTTCCACATTAAAATGTTTTATGACTCTGTAACAAGTTTACCTCTGAAAACACAGCTAATTTTTGGGTGTCCTATTAGCTGAGCATATTCAAATGTTATACTCCAATCTGTCGTCTTGACCCCACATAGTACCTCTGGGACACTTGGCTAAGTCAAAGGGATCTTCATCCATCACAAGAACAGGAAGATAGTCTTGGTCCACGACGCTGTCTTCCTTTCTGTCCTTGAAAAGACGAGTTGAGGTTCTTCTTCCAACCGTGTGGCATCAGCATTTTTTGCAGCCTGACCTTTGGCAAGAAGCAGTATGTCTGCTAGCTGTTGGGGTACATAAGGTGCCCATCAGGTGTGAAGGGATGGGAGGTCTCAGATCCATCTGCACCTCAAGAAGAGGCTTGCTTACCCCGCTCTCGTGTTCAGGCGGTGCATACACGTCTCTCCACAGATGTGTTGGATGGAGTTCCCTCAGACTCGCCTTGCTTCACATCAGTCTCCAAGGCGGATCTGCCTGGCTTTTGAGTTTCCAAGACGACTGAATACCCCAGCGCTCGCCTAGTCATCTGAAGCAGAGCCAGCTGGGAGGCGAGTTTTGAAAATGAAACTTCTGAGGAGGTTTGGGGAGTGCAAGTGGGGGCTGCAGTCCTTTCTTCTTCTGAGAGACACGACCCCGATGTTACTTTTTTTCAAAGAGTTAGAGCAAATGAGCCTGACACACTGAGGAGGGACAGAGCTTCTATTTCTGCAGGTTCCTTAAGGCAACAGAGGAAGCTCCGCGGCCAAGGGAGTCTAGTTAATGAGCAGGTTATACAATATTCATTGTGTTGAGTTTAACTCTTCAAACAGAACGTCTAATTGTGCAAAGAAAAAAAGCAGCTAAATTACAGATGTTAAGACAACAAAGCCCGAGAAGAACTAACTCCCTGTGCTGATCTACCTGTCCCTCCCTTGCTTCCTCTGTTCCCCGAGTCCTCCTCCGCTGTTCTCACTCGGCTGTGATCCGCGGGGCAGGGCCCACCAGGCCGCGCACCCCCCTCCCCCCCAGGCCTGTGTCCCCCTCGGCTGTGACCCGCGGGGCAGGGCCCACCAGGCCACCGGGCCGCGCACCGCCGCTCGCGGCACCAGCGCCCCCCGCAGGCCGCGGAGGGACACCGCCGTCTGCCGGTGGCAGTCCTGGCCCAGGAGCGGGCGAAGGCCAGAGGCCAGGAACGTGGCCAAGGCGGCGGGAAGGCCAAGCAGGATGGCCAGCTGGGCAGTCCCGAGCTGGGTCCCCGGCAGGGCACTGCCCCCCCCCAGTCCCACCTCAGGCCTTGGTCCGTCTTCCCGGGGTACCCCCTTCCCCCTTCCACGGTCCTCCCCCACCCTGGGCTCCCTGTGCTTTGACTGAGGCAAGAAGCTGGCAGAAGGCCTCGATGCTTCTGACCCGCCGCCAGTGGCAGGTGACCTGGAAGCGGCAGAGGTATGGGGGGAGGGGGGCACGGGGGTGGGGGTGTGTGTGGGGGTGGAGCGGCCTCAGCCTGGTTCCCAGGAGCGCTCCAGAGGAGCAGAGGTGCCGCGGAGCCCTAGGATGGACGGTGGACTCGGGGGACCTCATCACGGTCCTACTGGAGGACTCCATTTTGTCCTAGAAAAGCAAAAGTGGGGGTGCGGGGAGAAAGTCAAAGGACCTGGTCTTTTTCCAAGCTGCCACTGAATGTTATACTTAATCTGTGTTCCAGAAAGAATCCCAGGCAGCAGCTGAAAACGCAGCCTTGTGCCTGCTCCTAAAAGAGCTCACAGTAAAATGTGATGTGCCCTTGTGATTGACGGGGATGAGGTGGCTAATGGAAACCCCACAAAGAGAGCATGGAGGCCACTTACAAGGATAAACTTAGGGTCCTTAAGAGGCTTCCAGACCGATAGGCACCATTATCATCTCCAAGGGCCAAAAGCTTTGAGTGTCTTTTTACGCTAGGACCCATGCAAGAGAGCATTTAATCTTGCTGGAGGTTCCAATAAATTTGAGTAAGAATATTATAGCATGTTTTATTTTGTGTTCCTTTTAAGACTTCAAAGGAATAGTAAATCAGTGGACATGTATATTTTATATTGCCCATTGATCTAACCTCTAGAACCATACATGGTGTTTTGAGGCCAATGTTATAAACAGTGGTGGAGAGCTGGGGAGATGGGAATTATTAACTGAGGCTAAGCGGGAAAACAAATCACTAAAACTATCAATTTCTACAATTGTCGATAATTTCAGAGACACTGAGTATAACAGAAAGGCTGGTATTGATTGGTAAAAAGATGCTGCGCATATATTATACCCTTGTCTCCTCTCAATTTTGGTTCCTAGTCTAATAGCTCTCTGCTTTCTTAGCCTGGAACCTCCCACACTGGGATCAAAATATCAACCTCATCACCCACCCACAACCAGGGCTGTTACCTGTTCATCCCTATCTAAGGGTAGGCAAGTTTCCAACAAATCAGAGCTTGGATCATTCTGAGTCCTAAAGGGAAGGATAGAAGGGCTAAGAGAAGACTAAGTAGACAGATTAAAAATCAACATTTCCACCATTTTTGTGTATACTGACAAAATCAGATTTCCTTAGAAAGACTCCTGAGTTTGGAGTTAGGGGCTAAAGGGTATAGGGGGAGAAGGGCGGGGAAGAGGCAGGTGAGAACAGTAACAAAAGACTCACTGAATGTTTTTATTTATTTTGCATAAAATATGTACCTGTATACTATAAATTTACATATCTCTGCTCTAAAACATATATTCATATATAATTTTATTTGTAGCAGCATATCAGAGATCTCATCCTGTCCAAGAAAGTGCAGTTTCCCCAGGTGATTTTCATACCCAGCCCTTTGGGCCAGTAGCCCTTCTACAATCAGGGTTTCTTTTTCTTTCTTTTTTTCTTTTTTTTTAAGATTTTATTTATTCATTCATGACACACAGAGAGAGGGAGAAGCAGGCTCCATGCAGGGAGCCCGATGCGAGACTTGATCCCTGGTCTCCAGGATCACACCCTGGGCCAAAGGCGGCACCAAACCACCAGGCCACTGGGGCTGCCCTACAATCAGGGTTTCTTGTGCACCTAAGAAAAAATATGGTGAGATATTTTCCTGTCAGATGCCAAGAAGTTTATGTTTCCTAAGTTGGCACCCCAGTTTGGCCAGTTTGGTGGGATAAGTTTGGCCTTATCCCACCACAACACTGAATGGCCCACTCATCCATTACCTGAGGTGGGTGCTAGGGATGGAAGCAATGCCCTCTGAGAAGAGTCTCCTGAGAGCCATGAGTCTCTCCAGCCCACAGATATCCAGGGATGGTTCTAGGATTAGGTTGCTATCCCCCCTGGGTTGCTGGCCATTGCTGATTGCAGTAGCTGTGGGTGAAGATGATTGGAAAAGAGTCTTTACATCCCCAGGAAACTCTGTCACCCACAAACTTGCAGGAAAAGGATCTAAGCTGTTCTCCTCTGCAGCTCCAGTTAGGGAACCAACAAAGATGTTTGCAGGCTGGGGAAGAGTGCTGGGGAGACTGGGAGCTAAAGAGAGATCCAAAGACACCACAAAAGACAGTGAGAGCATTTTCCTTGTATTGATTGGCATAAACAACTATGATAATGGGGTAAATACTGGAGTCTCTGATATGTTTAGGGCAAACCATTACGTTGGGCCACTCAAAAGTATCAATAAAAGGATGATCTGCCCAGTGATATAAGCTCTTGACCAAGTGGCAAAGGACTTGATTTTTAACATCTTTTTTTTTTTTTAATAAGTCTCTGGTCCTCTGTACTTGTGCATCTTAACAGCCACCACTTAGGGAGCATAGAAACCATTGTGACCACTATATTTTTTCGTACCTCTGCCAAAAACTGCTTCTAGCTAGAAAAAAAAAAAAATCAGAATCTCACAAATCAAAGATTTTTGAAAGCCCTAGGTCTTTCCTGCCATATTATCAACAGGAAAAGTCTCTCCCATGATGATAATGACTTGAGCCTCTGCCATGGGCAGAGTCAAGATCAGTGCCCTCCATTGCCCTCCACCTTCTCATTTCCCATCCATGACTGCCCAACATGACAGCCTAGAGCTTTAGGAAAAAGAATTAGAAAGAGTGTAGCAAGCAAACAAGCATCAGTTTGGAGTCAGATTGTTGTCTGGGTTCAGCTCTCCACTCTGCTAACTCCTGTTTTGGGGCAAGTCCTCCAGGAGCATCAGTTTCTTCTTTTGCAAAATGGGACCAAGAATGGTTCCTAGGAATAGAGCTGCTGAAGAGGTGAAATAAAATCACTGATGTAGAAGCATCGAGCACAGTGCCTGGCACAGGTGCAGCCTGCAATGAGGGTTTACCATGATAACGGTTAGGATGACGATGGTGTTTGCTAAAAAAAACAAAACAAAACAAAAAACACATTAGCAGAGGTTTCTCTGGCCAGGGCTCTAACTGGGTTGGAATGCATTTTTTTTTTTCTTTTAGGGACACTCTTCTCCAAAGCCTTTGTCACTCAAACATTGAGAATGAAGTGAAAAACAAAGAAACCTAAGGACACACAGAATGTGGCAAAAGCTCGACAGTTTTAAACTCCTGCCTGAACTCTGAATGCATTCGGACATTTCCCATGGATACATTGTATGATGGGCATTGCTGTGGGTGCTGGGGATGCTGCATAGTGGTGGCTGTTGTTTCTGAACTTGAAACCTAGGAGAGACTCTTAGATGCTCAACCTTATAAATTACAGTGTGATGAGACCTTTAAAACCAGAACTAAGAAGGCAATTTCATTTGCCTCCCAAGGAGTATGGGGGAAATTTTCACAAAAAAGTTATTTGAACCTCCCCTTGAAAGAGAAATAGATTATCAGGAGGAACAGCCCAGTTTGAGGAAATGTCAGAAAGCAAAACATAGAGATCATGCCTAATGGGGTTGGGTAGACCCCAAAGTGTTCTGAGGACCTACTGGGAAATAAGTTTGAGAAATATAATACGCTATTTTTTTTCAGTACACTATCTTCTTAATGTGAAAATTCATAACTCATAATTTGCCTACTGCAATCTTCTTACAGTTAAGAAATCTATTCCACTTTGCTAGATGACATCCCCCCACCCCCACCACAAAGCACATGTACGCACACACTCCTTCTTCCTTTGAGAAACGCTGGGGTTTGTGTAGAGGAACCGGCAGGAAAACAGTCTGGGCCAAGAGGGGAGGAATGTGTGCAGCAGCGTACTAAGGGGTTCACCCTGTAGTGGCTCAGACAGGAGTCTGTCACCCCGTGGGGGACAAGGTTCCCAGAGGGGTCCCAAGACAGCCTGCAGGGACAACATGATGCAACTTCCCGACACCTCACTTTTATTCGTATTCATATTAAAACAAACATGCTTGGGATTAAAATGCAACCATTGCATGACTTAGAAAATAAAAAATGAGACTTGGACCACACGTTGGATTTGCAGGGTCTTCTTCAGGCCACAGTCAGACCTTGAGATCTTTACTTTTAGGAGTATCTTGGCAGGAAGGTTGGGGGAGTGGTGCGGGGCAGTGGGGAGAAGACAGTCTGGGGCAAAGGCAGGGTGCGGAGGGTGGCCCAGAGTAAGCCGCGTGCCTGGGCCCGCTAGAGCGAAGTCAGCCGTTAGTGCGTTGGCCAAGAGCAAAGCACCGAGTAAAGGGAAGCGGAATTGAAAGGATTAAAGGTTGGATCTTCGGTGCAGGTGGCCCTTCTGAGTGCATCCGTTCAGAGCACTTAACTAGAAATAAATCATGGAAATGAGTTCCATATCGCCAGGGATGTTCAGGGGACTATTGGATTCTCTAGCTGGATCCTCTCGCTTTGTTTTGTTTCAGAAGTTCATGGGCCAAAGGAGTCTCGGGTTATGTGGTGAGCCCGGGGGAAAGTCTGCTGCCTTCAAAACGGGACTCGGTGCTCCAACCCCGGCTTCAGGAGCCCTGTACCTACCATGGAAAGTGACAATTAAAGCTGGACACGTTTTTATATAAAAAGAAGAAAAGAACCATGTCTTTCCTGTGCTCTTCGGGTGGCCCCAGGGGTCTGCAGAAACCCCCTGCGAGGGCGCGAGGACTGGGAGGTGCAGGAGGTGCAGGAGAGGGGAGAGAGGGGGAGGGGGAGAGGGGGAGGGGAGGGGGAGAGGGGGAGGGGGGAGCGGGGCTCTCTGCTCTTGGGCTCTGGGCAGTATCGGCCTCTCCAGCCCCAGGCCGCCAGCCCCGCTCCGGCCGCGGCCCCTGCGGGAACACAGCTGCTCTAAACTATGGCCCAGCCGGGCTGCACCCGGGCCGCTTCCTCTGGGTCCCTCCCGCCTGGGCCGCGGTGGCCTCGGCCTGGCCCGCGCCACGGGCCGCCGGGCTCCCCAGGTGATTCAGTCCTCTCCCAGTAAACGAAATCCGACTGGACAACTGATAAACTGTGGATAAAGAGAGCAAAATGAGGCAAGGATTTAATTTCCTTTAAATAATACCTGAAGGGAGCACCTGGTAGCTCAGTGGTTGAGCGTCTGCCTTCGGCTCAGGTCATGACCCCCCCCCCCCCCCGTGGGGACCCTGCTTCTCCCTCTGCCTGTGTCTCTGCCTCTCTCTCTCTCTGTGTCTCTCATGCAAAAATAAATAAAGACTTTTTAAAAATAAATAATATCTGAAGAAGAACAAAAGTCTAAGTGAATGGAAAAACTGAAGACATGATCGTATTGCCCTTTAGGTGACTGTGCTCTCTTTAGAAACAAACACTCAGGGGATCCCTGGGTGGCTCAGCGGTTTGGCGCCTGCCTTTGGCCCAGGGCGCGATCCTGGAGACTCGGGATCGAATCCCACATTGGGCTCCCGGTGCATGGAGCCTGCTTCTCCCTCTGCCTGTGTCTCTGCCCCTCTCTCTCTCTCTCTCTCTCTCTCTCTCTCTCTCTCTCTCTGTGTGTGTGACTATCATAAATAAATAAAAATTTTAAAAAAATTTAGAAACAAACACTCAGAAGCAGCAAATAATTATTTCTTTATTTTATTTTAAGATTTTATTTATTTATTCATGAGAGACACAGAGAGAGAGGCAGAGACACAGGCAGAGGGAGAAGCAGGCTCCATGCGAGGAGCCCGACGTGGGACTCGATCCTGGAAATCTGGGATCTCTCCCGGAGCCAAAGGCAGATGCTCAACCGCTTAGCCACCCAGGCATCCCAAGAGCAGCAAATAATTAAAATGGGGAAGGACATGTATATATCAATTACCCTCCTGAATAAATACAGGCATTAAAAAAACTCATTTTGACTAAAAGATGTCTTCTTGAACTATTTAGTCTCAAAAGGTTTCATCTTCAACTTTATTATTATCCATTACTGGTATGTTGTTAATTGAATTACTCTGTTAATTGAAAATTTCATAATTCTGTTGTACAATCTTAGAGCTCTGTTGTAATTGTTGATTCCATTGGAAATTAGAGATAAATTGTTAGTACTCTAACTAATATTTTGAATACTTAATGGCTTTCTGTAGTAAAAATCACTTTCACAAACGTTATCTCATTTACCCTTCCAAAAATTTCACTGACATAGGGATAATTGGCTAGAATCATTTTTCCCACTTTAAGTATTCCGAAGGCAGTTATAAAGATATGATCAATTTAGCTGAGGTCATCCAGAATACTAGGTGCAAATAAGAGTCATGGCACAGGCCTCAGACATGTCCGTCTGTCACTGTCACTGTAGGTGAGGATCCGAGAGGTGAGTGAGCACAGGGCAACTTTGGAAGAGGCTTCTGGTCAGGTGACTTCACTGTCAAATGGAGACAATAATTTCTAAACTACTTCCTACATAGCACACAGCAGCTGTGATGGCAAACCCAGAAATAGAAATGGAGACGTTTTAAGAAATAAAAGGAGCTCTACAGATTTAAGGACTTCAGATAACACACGTCCCCTGTCCTGGATTAGAACCAAAGCCCCCCAGGCAGCAGCTAGTTTGCACTAATAGTCAAGTGGATACTGACCTTCCCAAATGGGCAAACTCATTAGGGCATGGGGTTTTCTTCCCTGCTGTCCCGCCTGCTGAGTTAGGCCACCAGGAAGGGATGGAAAAGGTGCACTGTGGTGGGGTGGGGGGCAACACAGCTCATCTGTCATTATTCCCAGTGCAGAGAGAAATTCTGGTGAGGAAGACAGCATGGCATGTGGATGCCTCCACCCTCAGGCACAGCCTCTCCCATATATATGTGAGCGTGTGGGGAAAAGAAACTGAGAAATAGACACCTTTCCCAAGAGTAAAAAAAAAAAAAAAAAAATTATCTTTCTTGGTAAATGCAAGTATCTGAAAGGAAATGCAAAGCAAGTGTCCCATTTTGAGTAATGATGCATATATGGGGTTTCCTGTTGCCAGGAACTATTGTAACCACTTTACATATGCTGGCCTTTAATCCGTATAGAAGCCCCCGAGGTAGGTGCTGTCATCATTTCACACATCTGATAGGCCATAAGCCAAGGCACAGGGACCTCAGTGGCTTTCCCTGTGCCCAGGAAAGTGTCTATTCATCTGTCTGTCTCAGCCTCTGTCTTTCTCACTTTTCCCTCCTCTCCCGCTGGTCCTTCTTCTTGCTCTGGTCAGGATTTCCTAGGGAGGTTGGCCAAGATGCACCTGTGGGGCCAGAGAGGAGGGGAAATCATGTATTCCTGGACTGTGGATAATGACAAAGAGGGGAACTGGGGGCAACTTCTTTTTTAGTTACCGTCTGCATGGACTGTCTAGTTGAGGCAGTCCTCATCATCCTGCCCTTGTCATTAGGTGGCTGGAGGTAGGGGCCAAAGCATGAAGGAAGAGAAAGGAGAAGCTCCCTTTCTTCAGAGTGTAAGGCTCCATTAGCAAGAAGCAGCACTGCCCTCACTCTTACAGGAATCTGAGGTCCCCCACAGGCTGGGCAGGGGCTTTCCACTGAAAGGACAGGTTTCTCTTCCGGGATTTGTCAGAGTGGGTGATTGTGTCAGCCTCTTGAAAACAAGCCATTGCTTTGGAATGAAGAGGAACAATACAAAAGTGCCAGCTACTTGATGATCAGACACTCTTCAAGCTTAAAGTAGAAATCCCATGAAATCACAACTGCTCCTCATGGTCACTGCAACAGAAAACACCCATCCAAGGTGAGCACTCTTGATGTGGTTCTGTTTGGTGATTTTACATGGGCATGTTCAAAACTAAAAGCTTAAGACCAGCCCCCAGAAAGTACACAATTCATTCGGGAGGAAAAAATGTTGAAGTGCTATTTCACACCCAAAATAAACTCCATTTAGATCAAAGTCATATCAAAATTAAATACAAAAACAAAAACAAAACAAAACCTAGGAAAAATACGGTTTTTAAAAAAATATTGTAGTTGGAATGCTTTTCTAAGAAAAACCCAATTCCCTTAAAGAAAAAGATTATTTTAAAAAATTGTGAATATAGGAGAAATTAAAAGACAAATTATAAACTGAGAAAAGTATTTGTAAAGATACAAAACTGACAAATATACAAAGAGTAATGGTGAATCAATAAAAAGATGACCAAACCCAAAATTATCAAAGGACATAAACAGAAAATAAAATAAAGTCAGTCATGGTTTATTAAAGAGGGCACTTGTGATGAGCACTGAGTGTAATATGTAAGTGAGGAATCACTAAATCCTACACCAGAAACCGATTTTACCATATACGTTATAAAACTAGAATTTAAATAAAAACTTGAAATAAAAAATCATGATTTAAAAAACAATTATGAGACACTATTTTATACCTACCTTATTAACAAAGTTTAATAAATCAGTAAACAATATTGATAACATGGGAAAAATGAGGACACTCATTTGCTAGTGCTAGAACTAGAAACCATGCAACTCTTTGAGGGGGTAACCTAATAATATTTTCCATAGTTAATATGCAATTACCTCTGATACATGTTACAACATGGAAGGACCTAGAAAACATTACAGTAAGTGAAATTAGCTAGATACAAAAATGACATATTGCACAATTCCACTTACATGAGGCACAGAGAGCAGGTAAATTATCATAAAGACAGAAAGATTACAGAGATTACCAGGGTCTGTGAGGAGAGCAGCCTGGAGATTATTGTTTAGTGGGTACAGAGCTTCTGCTTGAGATAATGAAAAAGTTCTGGAAATGGATAATGGTGATGGTGTACAACAGTGTGAATGTACTTAATGTCACTGAATTGTATACTTCAATTAGAATGGCAAATTTTATGTTAAATATATAAATATATTATTATATTAATATACATTAATATATTTTTTAACAGACCAAAAAACCCCAGAAATGCAGTTTCCCTTTGATCTAGCAATTTCACTTGCAGGAATTTTCCTTATAGACATAAATAATATGGCAAACTCATTTGTAATTAAATGAGTAGCTAAAACCAGGGTCATAACCTTATAGGCTTGGTAAATGCAGCTTACTGTCTGTGATCATTTTATTTTCCACACATTTGAACTTAACATTTGTATAAAATTTTAGTTATTATTTAAAACTGGGCATTATGCTAGGCATTGAGCATCCATGAACAGTATAACATAATCCTTACCTTAAAGGAACTCACAGATCAGTGAGATCCCAAAAAAAAGAAGACTGTAATCTCAGGACAATAAAGTCATAACTGACCCTCACTGAATCCACGAAGTGCCCCTTCCAGCTGTTTATTATGTATGTTAGTTAGTTCTGATCACAATCCAATTACACTTCCTTCAGGTCTTTTATTAGAATTTGTGTGTCACAATATTTTGGGTCATTTTTACAGCTAACATAGTGCTTTGATTTTTGCCATTTTCATTCTCTTAGCCACAGAACACAGGGGTGCCCACATATTGATCCCCTCGTGCCGCTGTGCCTAGGTGCATACTGCGGTGGTTGGAGCCCCCAGGAAAGTTGTCTTGGGCTTTGAGTGGCCCCTTGGATTTACCCCAGCGTGCTTTACATATATAATCATTTTACATATATTATCATTTCACATCACGCTGTATCGTGATGTGACAAAGTTTGGGAAGCTCTGTTGGAGTTGAATTTCATCTAAATTTCTGAACAGCCTGAATTTCAGTTTGGGGAGTATGTTGCTGTGGGTGCCAATATGTTGCTCACATACTTCTTCCCCACTCTTACCAGTAGAACAGAATGATTGGGTAAAACAATACACATAGAGTCAATTGTATTTTATTGTATTTTATTTTTTTTGTCAATTGTATTTTAATTTATCCCCTCTAATTGCCATCAAAAGGGGGTAGAGCAAACACTGCTGATGTGTTTGAGTTCACGCATGGCTGCATAGACGCTTTCCAGTCTATACTCAGCTATCACCTTCGGCATCCATAGATTTCTTCTCTGCTTTTTCATCTGGGAGCTTGGTCCAAGCTTGTGTGTGTGTGTGTGTGTGTGTGTGTGTGTGTGTGTGTGTGTGGTGGGGACACCACCCTCAACCCCTAAATGCCCCAGTCCCTCATCCTCCTGAGACATGATTCAGAAGGGTGTTTCATGTGGTTTCTCCGAGGGTCCCCACTGGGACTGAGTTCCAGGTGCCCAGAACAGTGACAGGCCCAATCTCACACTTCTTACTGGTGTCTCTCTCTTCTGTGTCTCCCTTTCCTCCTCTTACTTCCTGGAATCACCTCCCAAATAAACTCTTGCCCTCAAGTACTTTCCCTGCTTTTGCAGGCACTCGAACGAAAATAGCAGGAAATACTCTTCACTCTGCAAATGATGTAGTTTTAAATAAGGAAACAAAAGCCTGTTTCACACATACACACACCATCCATGAAGTTTGTTCAGGGCAATTTTACTCATATCTTATAAGAAGGATGGATAATTTTTTTTTAGAACAGTGCTATTCATGCCTTCTTTTACTTATTTATTTTTATTTTTTTATTTTTTATTATATATAGAGAGAGGCAGAGGGAGAAGCAGCTCCATGCCGGGAGCCCGACGCGGGACTCGATCCCGGGTCTCCAGGATCGCGCCCTGGGCGGAAGGTGGCGCTAGACCGTTGAGCCACCCGGGGATCCCGCGACTTCTTTTCAAAATAATTATCAATATAGAGATTAGTGGTGCGGTTCTCATGATACAAATGTTTCGTGCTTATCTTTGGCTAAATAATTGCTTCTTAAGATTAAGTGGAACTTTAGCCAAGGAAATTCTTGCTTCGAACAAACACAGCTTGGAATTTGTCGGTAGGTCTTGGGGGGGGGTGCACAGCCTCTCCCATAGGAACCTGAAACCGCGTGGCCGGGAGGAGCAGGACCTGCTGGTGTGAGGTGTGAGGTGTGAGGTGTGAGGTGTGAGGTGTGAGGCCGGGCCTCCTCCCAGGCCCGGAGCCAGCACGCGGGGCTCGCAGCTGGGCGCGAGGCCCGCCTGCGACGGCGGCCAAGACCCACATCCTGCCCTTTGCCTGTGTCACGAGAAACAACGGCTTCAATCCGATGCTATTTCAGAAAATGACATGAGGTCCTCTTGAGTGTGACCGATCTGAATCCTCGCCGCCCCTAAACCTGAGATAGGGTTCGTGCTGCCTCCCCAGCTTGCAAGGGCTCAAGGTCAAGATCGAAAAGACGTGCGGGGGTGGGGTGGGGGTGGGGGTAGGAAATGCTCCATTTCTAAACACTTGTTTTGTTGTTAAAACCTCTCTTCTTATAATTTTCTCATAAGACCAGACTGTTTCTTTTTGAAGAGGATTTAATTAAGTCAAAGAAATAAGACCAGAAAATATTTGTGTCCTGGTGTGAACTCTTTACAAGCTGCCCGACCCCCAAGAGCTCCAAGGCACTCCTGGCCGAGGGAGCACCCCGTATACATTATGGTCACGCAGCGTGGCATGTGGCGGTTTGGGTTAGGGTCTAATCGCTACAATTGCAAATTACAGAGTAGAATATTACAAAATTTCTGCCAACTATCAATTACTTAGAAGCAATTGTCATATTTTCAACACTTTGCTATCTTCTTCCTATTGACTTGTTATTTCACTACTTTTTCACGGAGATGAGCAGAGAAAGTGACACCCAAGTCGATCCACTGTGTACCTTGTTAAATTTACTGGGGGGGGGGGAATCCCAGGAATAGAATACAATGATTGGAATAGAATAAAATGATTAGATAAAATAACATTTAGAGAGTAAGTTTCATTTTTCTTTACCAGCTCTAATGCCGCTGACAGAAAGAATTAAAAGTTGACTATGTAAAAGAAGTTCTCAAATGAGAATGATGTGAGAGATAGCAAACAGGACAGGTAAAAGTTCTCTGAATAAACATTTAGGGCTGTTAGGCATTTTTTTAAAAGGAGTTGTTTGTTTTTATATTTTTAGATACACAGGAATTTTCAAAGTTTAGCTAGTATGTTGATCTAAGGAGCCATAGGAGGCAAGAACAGCCCCTCCTTTCTACTAAGCTAGTTTTAAAAGGTAAAAATAAAATACTTTAAAAGTAGTGAAAGTAGCTATAAAAAACAATGGGCTAAGGGAGATAATCCAAACAACCAAATAATCCAATGTCATCTACCCCCTTCCTCTCTTCACCCACCACCACCTCTTACATTGACCAGACACAAGGAGACAGGAGGGTGACCTATAACTTCAATCTTTTGGACTTAAGAGTCCTTCAGACAATAACTTTCTCTGCTAAGTTTGCTTTCTGTGAGGGGGAAAAAAAAAGTCAACAACCTCTGCACCACAGGGACCATTCTTATAGTTTCCCAGGCACATTAGGAGATCATGAACAATGAGCTGTTAAAGCACATTCTCAGTTGAGGGGACCCAGGGCTTTCCCATTTTCTTCCAGAAGCACTACAAGATGTCCTTTGAGCCTTTGTTTGATGGCAGAAGGTGGTCTCCTCTCCCCAGATCAGATCAAACACCAAAGCCTACAGAAGGAGGTAAGGGCCATGCCCCACAGACTAGGTCACAGCCTCAAATGCCACCCTCCCCTCTTTAAGTCTTGAGGTTTCTGCTTTCCCACTAGCCCCTGTCTACTTGAACCCAGGAAAACACCCACTCACCGAGGGACACACTTTCCTTCAGGCTGGGTGGACTGGCTCCCCCGCTCAGGGTTGCAGAGAAACATCTTTAAAACAAGTCTTT